GGGAGGGAGGAAGGAGACGTGTTTAAGAGAAGCAGTTTAATGGCAAGATCTCCGGGAAAGAAGGAGGGGAACGAGGGGGAAGAAGGACGGAAGGAGGAGGGAGAAGGGGAAGAGAGGATGATGAAGGAGTGGCGGGAGGAAGTGAAGGGGTGAGAGAGGAAATAAGTGGAATAAGGGGCATAATGAACGAGCTGAGACAGATAAGGGGGGAGATTAAGGGGGAGATAAGAGAAGGACTGAGAGAGCAAGGAAGAATATTAGGAGAGGAGCTGGAGGAGATGAAAAAAGAGCTAAAGGAAAGGGAACTAAGATGGCAAGAGGAGAAAAGGGAACTGGTATGGAGAATAGAAGAGATGGAAAAGAGGTGGATAGCTAAACTGAAAGAGGGGGAGGGAGAAGAGAAGAAAACAAGGAAAGGGGAGGGAGATAAAAGAGTGGAAGAGAGGATGAAGGAGTTAGAGAGGAAATTAGAACTAAAAGAGAGGAAAGAGAGGAGAGTGAATGTAATAGTGAGAGGTATGGAGGTAGAGAAGGGGAAAGGGAGGGAGACATTCGAGAAATTAATAAAGGAGTTAGGAGTGGAAGCAAATATAGAAGACATGAGCAGAATAGGAGGAATAAGGGGAAAAGGGCCGGAGACTTTGTTAGTGAAGTTAGAAAGTGAGGAACAGAAAAGAGAGGTAATGAGAAAGAAGAGACTGTTAAAGGGAAGGAAGGAAAGATTAGCAGATGACCTAACGTGGAGGGAGAGGAAGATGAAATGGAGGATAGAAGAGATAGCAAGGGAAGAGGAGAGGCGAGGTAGAAAGGTGTGGACAAGCTATGGGAAGGTGAGAATAGAGGAAGAATGGTGGACCTGGGATGAAGAAGAAGAGGTGCTAAAAGATAGAAGAGGTAACGTAAGAGGGGTAAGAGAGCAAGGGAAGGGGGAATGAAAAGTAGAGGAGAGAGGGGGAAGGAAAGTAAGGAGGGGGAGGGAGGAGAAGGGGAAGGAGGAGAGTGGGGAAGGGGGAGAGGGGAGAACAAGACAGAATGGAGAGTAGGGTTCTGGAATGTGGCATGGATAGGAAGGAAAGATAAGGATTTTTGGGAGATTCTAAAACAGTGGGATATAATGGTGTTGACGGAGACATGGGTGGAGGAGAAAGGGGTGAAGAAACTGAGAGAGAATTTACCAAAGGGATACAAATGGGGGATACAACCGGCGAAGAGGATTAACATAAAAGGAAGAGCGAGAGGAGGAATGGTAATGGGGATAAGAAGGGAGTGGGTCGAAAGAGGGGAGGAGATAGACGATAGACATAAGAAATGAAGGTATAATAACAGGAATAGCAAGAAGAGGGGGAGAGAGATGGAGAATAATGGGAGTGTACGTGAACGGGAATATTGGGGAGAAACTAAGGAGACTAGAAGGGTGGATGGAAGTAGAAGAGGTAGGAAGTAGGAATATAATAGGAGGAGACTTCAACGCAAGAACGGGAGAGAACGGAGGAGAGATAATAGAGGAAAGGTTAGAAGGAAAGGAAGAAGGAAGGAAAAGGAGATCGAAGGATAAGAAAGTCAACAGGGAGGGAAGGGCTTTAATAGAGTTTATGGAAGAAAGAGGGTGGGGAATACTAAACGGAGGAATAAAGGGAGATGAGGAGGGAGAATACACATATACAGGTGGGAGAGGGAACACAGTGATAGATTATGTGATAGGAGACAAAGAAACGAGAGATAGAGTAAAACGGTTAGTAATAGGAGACAAAATAGACTCTGACCATCATCCGGTAGAGATAACAATAGGGGAAGGGGTGAAGGAAAGGGAAGGAAGAAGAAGAAAGAACAGGAGGAAAGAATGGAGAGGGAGATGGGATGAACAGGGAAGGGAAAGCTTTAGACAAAAGATAGGAGAAATAGAAAGTAGGGAGGGGGTACAGGAGGACTGGGAGGAGTGGGAGGAGAGAATAAAGAATGCGATAGAAGAGATAGAAAGGGAGGGTGGAGGGAGAGAGGGAAAGAGGGGATGGTGGGACGAAGAATGCAAGAGTAAAAAACGGGAGGTGAGGAAGGTGCTAAGGGAGTGGAGAAAAGGAAAGGGAGAGGAGAGGGAATACAAAGGGAGGAAAAAGGAATACAAGGAAATGTGTGATAAAAAGAGGAAAGAAGAAAACGAGAAATGGATAAGAAAAGCGGCAGAGGCAAAGACGGAAGGGCAGGTATGGGAGGTTATAAACAGGGGAAGGAAGGAAGGTAGAGGAGTAGAGGAAGGAATAGAGATGGGGGAGTGGAAGACGTACTTTATGGAATTGTTAGGAGGGGTAGAAA